GGTTCGAGATCCGAGGCCAGAAGGAACCCCCTCCCTGAAGCGCCGCCCCCCCGCCGGCTGCCTCCCAGGGAGGGGGCGGCCCGCCCACCCCCCACCCCCGAAAATGCAAAAGACACTTCTGGGGAAACCCCCCCCCCCCCCCAGGTAAAGGCTACCTCACTCAAGCTCATGTCTGTGATTGGAAAATCACGCCTGATACCAAAGATTTCTCCCGAGGACTTGTGCTGGATGACAGGATTCCCTGGCCTGGGACCCGGCTGGGGCCGCCTGCCGGGTGCCACCCCTTCCCCCACCAGAGAGCGAGAGAAAGAGAGAGAGTGAGAGAGAGAGAGGAAAGAGAGAGAAAAGAGAGACAGGGACAGCGGGAGGGAGGGAGGATGGTGAGGTCGATGAGTGCCTTCTTCTTGAACCAAAGACGTGTATGGAGTGTTCTCTTGTCCTTATCGACTCGCTGTTCTCCCAGCTTTCCACCGACCGGATCTGAGTGATGCTTCTAGAACATTTCGGTGTTGGGGGGTTCCTGAGAGTAGGAAGGGTCCCCATGCGGGCTCAGCACCCCACCTCTGCCCCCACACACGCAGACACGCACGTGCAGACAAACACACCTGGAGACGGACACACGCAGGCACACACACAGACACACATGCAGACACATGCACACACAAAGACACACAGACACATGCAGACACACACACGCACAGACGCATGCAGACAGACACACACAAAGACATGCACATCTGTACAAATGCAGACACATGCAGGCACACATGCACAGACACATGCAGACATGCAGACACATGCACACACCCAAGACACACACACACAGACATGCACACATGCAGACACATGCAGACAGACACACACAGAGACATGCACAGATGTGCACACACATGCAGATACATGCAGACACACACATGGAGGCACGCAGACATGGAGACAGACATGCGGAGACACACATGCACACACACATGCACATACACACAGACACGTGTGCACACACCCTGGTTCCTGTCTTGTGGTGTTACTGAGTGCCACCTCCCACTAAAACCTGGGCCTCAGTTTCTCTCCCGCCCCCACCCCTAAGTTCCTGATGAACCCAGAGCTGTCCTGCTGACTCCAGGCCCAGCAAGTCCGGGGCCCATGTTTTAATTTCTTTTAATATCAGAAGGCAAAAAAACAAAAAAGCTTTAGGTCCAAAAAGATGTGGACCTATTTACCATATTACTTGTCTTTATACCAAGGTAGCCTACAGACAGACAAGGTTTTAAATTTCTGTTTTAGAAACAGGGTTTTGCTCTGTCACCCAGGCTGGGGTGCAGTGGTGGCATCACAGCTCACTGCAGCCCCGATCTCCTGGGCTCGAGTGCTCCTCCTGCCTCAGCCTCCCAGTAGCTGGGACCACAGGCACGCACCACCATGCCCAGCTGAATTTTTTAAGAGTTTTTTGGAGCGATGGGATCTTGCTATGTTGTCCTGGCTGGTCTTCAACTCCTGACCCCAAGGGGTCCTCCTGCCTCAGCCTCCAAAAATGCTGGGACTACAGGTAAATAGACACTTAGTGGAGGAAGGGGCTCTCAAAGGCAATGAAGTGGTCCTGATGCACGAGCGTTATGCTGCAGCCCTGACCCAGTGAACTCCTTGGGAAATCCATGCCTGGGCCTCCGGCACTGGCCAGAGCATGGGCCTTCGGGGGTCTGGATTTCCTAGACATCCTCTGCTTGGCCTTCGAGGCTCCAAGGCTCAGATGCACCGGGGTCTCCAGTTTTGTCCCCTGCTGGAATTTAGGGCTTGGCTTGGGATCGTTCTGGTTGTGGAACGTGTAAGCTGTGCTGAACTGTGCCCGTGTTAGGTCAAGCCTCTCGGTCACAGAAGTGACCGAGTATTTTGGGAGGCCGAGACAGGAGGATCACTTGAGGCCAGGAATTTGAGACCAGCCTGGGTAACACAGCAAGACCTCACCTCTACCAAAAAATAAAAATAAAGTGGCCCAGGACTCCTGGATTCTTTTCAGGTTTATTCATATCAACACACACACACACACACACACACACACACACACACACCCCTACTTCTGGACCCCACTCCAAACCTGGCCAGAACCCCACAGCAGGCTCAACCCCCGACCCGTCCCCAGCCCCTCAGGTCTCCCCCGCCCCGTGCCCACTTGACGGTCACATACCAAAGAGCATCGGTTCTCCACGCAGGGGACAGCACCTCCAGCACAATTCCTTCGAGCCTTTGACAATTTTCTCTGAAATACCTCAAAATATTTAATGTATAGTTTATGTGATTTAAAAAAAAAAATCCTTAGCTAGTTTTTGGAATACGTGACTTGAAGCTTTATACCGTTAAATTATAATTTTGCAGACGATGGCATGTCGTTTCTTTGATGAGTTCCGTGGGAGACGCATTGAATGTCAGGGCTGCAGACCAGAGGCAAAGTCAGAGGGAGCGTGAGAGAGAGAGAGAGAGAGAGAGAGAGAGAGAGGGGCTGACTGGCAGGAAGGACCAGCGGTTTACACATTTCTTATTTAAACGAGTCCTTTAGGAAAGAGAGGGAGAGAGAGAGGGAGAGGCATATTCTCTGGCTGTTCTGTTTCTTGTTTCTTGGAGTCGTGTCTTATAAGAGTATTTATTATTCTCTGTGTTCTGTGTTCAAACGTAATTTAAGAAAAAAAAAAGGAAAAAAATGAAAAAAAAAAAGACAAAATGGAATTGGATTTGGTGCATGAGTAATGTACTCTTTCCTGACGCTGATGTAAGGGGGGCGGGGGGCGGGGCCGGTCCGTGTCGCGTCTGTGTGTCTGCCCGTCCGTGCTGTTCCGTGGTTTTTCGTTGCTGTTTCTTTCCTCCTAAGGAACTGTGTCCAGCCGGGACAGGCGGACGAGGCCCCAGGTAGAGGGAGCGGGAGCAGGGCCTCAGCACCCAGGTCTCCTCCACCTCCCAGCCCCAGGTGCCACCTACCTGCCCCAGCCAGGCGGGGGCCGCCCAGCCTCCCCGCCGCGTTCCTGGCTCTGGGGGCACTATCTCAGACCACCCCAGCCCCCATCACCCGGTTGGTTGCACTGTAGCATGAACTCCCAAGTGTCTTGTTCAGAGGAGACAGACAATCAGCCTATTCTTGTCGCCCAGGGTGGTGGGGGGCCGGGGGTGTACCCCAACTTCCTGAGATCTGAGGACCCTCCTGATGCCCCCCACGGCAGGCACCAGCACTCCCCCGACTGCACCCAGACGGCCTCGGCCTCCCCTCCCTGGGCTGTGCATGAGTCTGCCTGAGTCTGGTCCAGGAGGTGGGGGACGCACGTCTGCAGAGACGCCTCCTTCCCAGCCCGCTTTGGGTGCCTAGAAAACAGAGGGCCCCCCAAAATCATCAACGGGGGTTCTGGGACAATGTCCTCTGTCTCCAACTCCTCTGGTCCCATGAGGCCATGTCCCTGGAGGTGGAAGGGAGGCAGACAGGCCGGCTTGGGAAGACTCCTGCTTCCTTCCCAGGAGGCCAGAGGCTGGAGGAGAGGGTGGCAGAGGAGAGATGAGAGGGTCCACTTTCAGGGACAGGTCCCAGTAGTCGGGGGCGGGTAGCTGAAGGGGGTGCTCCCCACCCCAGAAAGCAGAAAGCCCGGTCTGGAGGGCTGGGCCTGGGGCTGAGGGCTCAGCCGACCTGAAATCTGAAATGAAGCCGCAGGACTGCTCCCCAAACCAGCGGGCGCCGGGGCCATTTCACTTTCTCTGCCCCAACTGATTTAAGCAAAATCCGGACAGTAAACTCCTGGGGCTCCTCCTCGTGGCCCCGAGGGACCCCGCAGGGGCTGATTTTGGTGGAATGAGCTCAGCCTGGGGTGCGGGTGAGCCAGGAGGCCCTGCAGCCTTGAGTGTTTTGAAGAGACTGGAACTGAGGGCTGCTTTCTGGGGAGACACCACTTGGACCCTCCAAAGTCCCCTCCCCTCCAGTGACAAAGGGGAGAGACGCCCTTCTCCACCCTCACCCTCAGGGGACAGGTTTAAGAGTTTAAAAAAAAAAAAAATCTCGTCATTGTTAACCATTGCTGTGCTGGGTTTGTTGATTTGTTTTTCTTCAATAAATTATTTTCTAGTCACTCACCTGGGCGTGTGTGTTGGCCGATGGGTGGGGCGCAGATGGGGGGGTGGGGCGCAGATGGGGGGGTGGGGCGCAGATGGGGGAGGCGGGGACAGGGGTGCAGGGACGAGGGACTTTGCTTCCACCACCTCTGAACCTCCACCACCCACAGGGAATGGCTAAGAATCAGAAAGAAAAGCTCAGTGCCTTTGAGTCACCCACGCCCCAAGATGCAGACCTTCTCAGGCCTGCTTCCCGGATGTCACTGCTCACCACCTTCCGGAGTCTAAGGGGAACGAGGCCCCAGTGAGCCAAGGTTTATTCAAAGAGGAGAAGCCAGGGTTTCCCAGCGAAGGAAGAAGCCAGATGGTACCAGAACTGGAGTTCATCAACTTTTTTGGGAGGGCCCAGCTGCCAGGCCGTAGGGGAGCCACAGCTTTTAATAAGCAACTTTTGGGCCGAGTGTAGTGGCTCACACCTGTAATCCCAACACATCGGGAGGCCGAGGAGGGCGGATCACCTGAGGTCAGGAGTTTGAGACCAGCCTGGCCAACATGGAGAAAACCCCGTCTCTACTAAAAATACAAAAATTAGCCAGGCATGGTGGCGCATGCCTGTAATCCCAGCTACTCAGGAGGCTGAGGCAGGAGAATCGCTTGAACCCAGGAGGCGGAGGTTGCAGTGAGCTGAGATGGCCACATTGTACTCCAGCCTGGGCAACAAGAAGGAAACTCTGTCTCTAAATAAATAAATAAAAATAAGCAACTTCTGAGAACAATGAAGCTTTACCAACATTATCAACCCCAGGGTGAAGAAAAGCTTTCCCTGCAAATACCCCACTGGGCCACTAGAGATCAGTGCTTTGACTTTAAAAAACAGGAAGGAATTATTCCATCACAAAAGAAGTGTAGGGAAAAAGTGAGCCTGAATTAGCGCTGGGGTCAGATGGACCCTGGTTTATTAGAAAAAGAAAAGTGTGTAGAACCCTTGTATTCAGAGGAAGGCCTCCTGAATGCCGAGGGGCTTGTATAGGGCAATGACTGCTCCTCTGGGGGCAGGGGTGGCTGCTCCTCGACGGGCACCAGCAGCCACTCCATGGTGATGATGGGCAGGGCTCCACCTACATGGGCTGCTGGTTCATGGAGGATTCTCCCGGACTCAGAGGCAGAGTCTCCACCTGAGATTCCTGGGTCTCGTCTGAGAGCGGTGCCGTCCCCTCCTTGGGGGTGTGGGGCTCCTTTTGCCAGCTCTTCCGGAACGGTGTCAAGGGCCTCAAAAACGCTGACTTCTCCGAGGATTCTGCCTGGCTCTCCAACGTCAGCTGGCCTGAAAGCAATGACTGGCTCGCCAGAGGTTGTGGCCGGCTCTCGGAAGATAACAGCTGGCTCCTTCTCAGCAACAGTGATTTCTCCTGAAAAGAATGTGACCTCTCCTTAGTCAACAGCAACTTCTCAGGAGAAGGTGGCCTCTGCTTGGGTGACAGTGGCCTCTCCTGTGCCCTCGGCAGTTGCTCCTGGAAAGACCCAGATAGCCTGTTGGTGCTCGCGAGCAAATTTTTAAGAAGGGCAGGTTGGTTTTCTGAATGAAAAGTGGACACACTACCCATTGAAAACAATGAGCTCATTGTGGAGGGGGCTGTATTTCATCGGAGGACACCCTCCCCTGTTGCTGGCACTTATTCCCCACTGGCGATACCTTCCTGAGATGCCAGTGTGACTCCTTTGGGCTCAAGGACGCCCCTTCATCACATGGGGCTGAGGAATCAGAGGTAATGTCATCGCTGACCCCAGGTCCGGTCCGCAGAATTGTGCCCTGAGTAATGAGGTCCGCATATCCCTCATGGTGGGAGAAAGCGTAGCTGGAACGCCGGGCATGAGACTCCCGGTATAAATGAGGCACAGGCTCCATGGTGAAAATGTCCTCTCTGGGGCCCTCCTCCACCTTCTCTTCCTGAAGAGCAAAGGGGAGAGCAGGGGAATCAGACTCCCATGCTTGGCTGATGGCTCTCAGGTGACCTGTCCCCCAGTACAAGAGGCAGCATTCACAGCCCTCAGCCACTATGGACTGCTGTGTTCTTCTGTACCCAAGTTGAGCTAACCACAGTCCTCGACTCCCATTGTAGAGTTCTAAGGAGGACTCTGGTCCTTTGCTCTTCAAGACCCACTAATTGGTCTTGCCCTGGAAACTAATCCTGGATCAGCCAATCAGAGTCCTTCCCTGGGTCTTAACTCTGGACCACCCAATCAGAGTCCTTCCCTGTGACTTAACCCTGGATCAGCCAATCAGAGTCCTTCCCTGAGACTTGATTCTGGATCAGCCACCAGGTGCCTTGGCTGCCCTTTGATGGCAAATCCAGGAGAGGTGAGTCTGGGACAACCATGTGTCCAGCCTGCGCAGTAAAGGTGGCAGGAGCTGAGCAGGGAGAACAGAGGTGGCAGGGCAGGTACGCCACCCAGGCAATTCTGGGGCCCATCTCGGCTGCCATCTGCTTTTCCACGCATGTTTTGGTTACATGGGCGATTGAGTCCCCCTCCCACTTTTTTTTAGGTGGGGTCTTGCTCTGTTGTCCAGACAAGAGTATGGTGGCACAAACATAGCTCGCTGAACCCTCACTCTCCCAGGCTCAAGTGAGTCACCCGCTTTGGCCTCCCAAAGTGCAGGGATTACAGACATGAGCCACCACGCCCGGCCGCCCTCTTGACCATTTTCATGCTTATAGCTCAGCAGCATGAAACACATGCACACAGTAGGGCAGCCACCACCACCATCATCTCCAGAACCTTTTTTTTTTTTTTTTGAGATGGAGTTTCGCTCTTGTTACCCAGGCTGGAGTGCAAAGGCACGATCTCGGCTCACTGCAACGTCTCTCTCCTGGGTTCAGGCAATTCTCCTGCCTCAGCCTCCTGAGTAGCTGGGATTACAGGCATGCGCCACCAAGCCCAACTAATTTTTTTGTATTTTTAGTAGAGACGGGGTTTCACCATGTTGACCAGGATGGTCTCGATCTCTTGACCTCGTTCGTGATCCACCCGCCTCGGCCTCCCAAAGTGCTGGGATTACAGGCTTGAGCCACCGCACCCAGCTTCCAGAACCTTTTCATATTCCCAAACGGAAACTCTGCCCCCACGAAACACTCGCTCCCTGTCCCCAGCCCCAAGTCCCTGGCACGCCAAATTCTACTTTCTGTCTCTGTGAATCTGACGACCTAGGGACCTCATATAAGTGAATCAACGAATATTTGTCTTTTATGTCTGGCTTCACTCACTGAGAATCATGTTTTCTTTTTTTTATCTGTAGAGACGGGGTCTCTCAAATTGCCAGGTTGCTCTTGAACTCCTGGACTCAAGCGATCCTCTTGTCTTGGCCTCCCAAAGCGCTGCGGTTACAGGCATGAACTACCATGCTCGGTTGCTCATTTATAATTTTGTGTGGAAACAGGGTCTCACGATGTCACCCTGGCTGGTCTTGGACTCCTGGCCTCCAGCAACCCTCCTGCCTCAGCCTCTCAGAGTGCTGGGATCACAGGTGTGAGCCACCGCACCTGGCCTTGGGCACCACGCCCCCAACGTGTGTCCAAACTGTGGCCTGGGCCAGAGCCTGGCTCCTTCACCAGGCTGTGCACGTGCGCATTGGCCCACGCATCTGTCCGAGCCCCTCCTCTTGCCTGAACCTTGTCAAGGCTGTTTCCACCACCGCAACCCCAACACCTCGATCATTCATGGCAGAATCTGATGGTGTCGGCCAGGCACGGTGTGGCTCATGCCTGAAGTTCCAACATGTTAGGAGGCCAAGGCAGGAGGACTGCTTGAGCCAGGAGTTTGAGTCCAGCCTAGGCAACATAATGAGACCCCATCTCTAGAAAAAAACCAAAAATCTAGCTGGGTGTGGTGGTGCATGCCTGTGGTCTCAGCTACTTGGGAGGCTGAGGTGGGAGAATCATTTGTGCCTGGGAGGTGGGGGCTGCAGTGAGCAGTAAGTGTGCCACTGCACTCCTGCCTGGGTGTCAGAGGGAAACCCTACCTCTAAAAAAATAAAATTAAATAAATAAATAAAAACATTACGTCCCGGTATGGGGGCTCACTCCTGTAATCCCAGCATTTTGGGAGGCCGAGGTGGGTGGATCACTTGTGGTCAGGAGTTCGAGACCAGCCTGGCCAATGTAATGAAACCTCACCTCTACTAAAAATACAAAAAAAACAAGGCCGGGCGTGGTGGCTCAAGCCTATAATCCGAGCACTTTGGGAGGCCGAGGCGGGTGGATCACGAGGTCAAGAGATTGAGACCATCCTGGTCAACATGGTGAAACCCCATCTCTACTAAAAATACAAAAAATTAGCTGGGCATGGTGGCGCGTGCCTGTAATCCCAGCTACTCAGGAGGCTGAGGCAGGAGAATCGCCTGAACCCAGGAGAGAGACGTTGCAGTGAGCCGAGATCGTGCCATTGCACTCCAGCCTGGGTAACAAGAGCGAAATTCT